CCCGAGGATGCTGGTGCACGCTCACGGCTGCGGGGAACGGTCCTCCTGGTCACCCGTCTCGTCAGGGGAGGCCTGGTACTGGGGGTTAAGGGTGATATCGGTCGGCCGGGCTTTGTTGTGATCCGCCTTGTAAAGCTGCTCCGAGACGTGCAGGAGGTCCTCGTTGGTGATGGCGTCCCGGCTGCTGGAGAAACCCTCTGCAAGGAGAGGCAGGGGGGTGGCAAGAGCAGGCAGCAGCTCCCAGGGCCGCAGGTTAGCTGCCCGTGGAGAAGCGAGGGTGATGCGGTACCCCACGCTGCATCGATGCACAGGTTTCACAACCCTGGGACACCGTGAGAGCTGGGTGCTCAGCACGGAGCGTTAAGGGGTGCAGGGAGGTCCCAACTCGCACCAGCCCCTGGCCACAGGGCTGCAGGCACGGGAGCCTTTCATTAAGCACTGGGTGGGCTGGGAAGCATCAGTCCCCGTCTCCCAGGTGTGATGTTGCTCTTTGCAACACGTCTGCTGGGATCAGCCCCCTCCCCATCTCCCAGATTTTAGGTGTGCGGTGACCAGCGGATGCAAACACCAGCTCACCCCTGCCTCTGGCCGCTCCGCGCCTGCACGCTTCACCCGTCTCTGGTGAAGGGAGATAACGCTGCTGGGGAAGAGGCAGGAGATGCCGGGGCTCTCGCCGCACCGTCTGCTCAGCAACAACGCGCAGCGGCGTGGAACAGCCGGTGACGGGGCGGTACGGCCACGGCCAGAAACCAGCGCGACACCCCGACGCCATCGATCCCCAAGAGCCGCGAGCGGCAGAGGAGCGACCTGCCCCCGGTCGGTGTGTGTGTGCGTGTGTGTGTGTGAAATGGAGGCAGTGGTGGTTTATCGCCCTTGCTCAGAAGCGGAGCTACTCACCGTGGGTGTGAGCTGCCATCTCGGCCCATTCTCCACCTGCACGGAGATGAAAGGAGAAGGAGCTCAGGATGATGGAGATACAGGCTGGGGGTTGCCCAGGGCCACACACACAAATGAACATCAACACAAGTGGGCACACGCTTACGACCAACCCCTTTGCACCCCACAGCCGGGCTCTGGCAGCCTCAGGATGAGAGCAGCCCCCTCCAAACCCACCTCCGTCACCCGGGGGATGCTCACCGGGTCGGCAGCGCGCGTAGTAATCCTCGCAGCAGTTGTGGTACCTCTCGCAGTCGGCATTGCAGTGGCACACGTCCTCCTCGCTGTAGGGCTCCTCGCAGCGTCCCTCGCAGGAGTCGGGGGCCGTGTACAGGTCTTTGGGAGAGAAAGAGAGAGAGAAAAAACAGCGTGGTCCTCAGGACAGACCGACCACCCTGCCCCAGCCAGCCCGCGACCTGGGGAGCATCCTTCCTTCCGCCCACGTTCCCATCCTGGGAGAGCCTAAAGGACCAAGCTCCTACCCTGGAGCTACTTGGGATCCTTCATCAAGCGTTTAGGGGTGGCATTTTGACCGGCTGAATCCTCAGGACGCACATCTCTGTGGATGTCCACCACGTCAGGGCCACTTCATATCAAGAAACACGTTCTTGGCTCCCCACCATTAATTGCTCCTTCTGATTCACCCCTTTAATGCCAGGCGTAGCAGGAGTGCCCCAGGTTCAGCTGTCTCTGAGCTGGAGGAGGAGCGCCACATTCCAGGCACCCTTATTTGCAACCCGACCGTCACTCTTTCTGCAGTGCTGGGAAAACTGGGAACTTCTTCCCAAGGTATTTATATGATCAATGCGTCGTCAAGCATGTGCTTTATTACACATGGTGGCAAAACTAAAAAATAATGCAGCAGCTCAAGCGGTGCTTTGAGTAGTGCAAATGCCACGTCCCAGGAGGACGATGGACACTTCCCGTCAAGCAAAGAGGGGCTGGAGGGGACCAAGACGTTGGGTTTGTATGAAGAGCTTAGGGAAGGTGCCTTATCCTCTGTGCTGCTTCTGATGGGAGGAATGGGACAGCAGGCAGCCCAGGCACGGCTTTCCCGGCATGGCTTTGCTCCAGCCAGGAAGGTGACCATCTCCAAGGACGTGCTGAGGAGCCATGTCCCAGCCAAGCCGCCAGCCTGCAAAGCAATCCCTGGAGGAAAGGGTGTTGCTTTCCCTTGCAATCACGCAACATCTGAAACACCTCTGGGTTGCCTGACTCGAACTCCAGCAGGTGAAACGTGCCCTCGGGGCAAATCCTGACACAGCAGCGATGAGAGTGACCTCCAAGCGTCACGCTTGCTGGTTTCTCTCTGCACCCGCCTTGCTCGCTCTGTTGTCTTGCATTTTACTCAAAGTATTTGCGCTTTTCAGCCTCATGTCATCAAGGTCCTACGTGCTGATGAGAGAGGAAGAACCTCTTTGTCGCACCAGCCCACGCTGCAAGGACACACTGCTGACTCCCCTTTGGCCTCTCACCGCCACATCCTTTTCTGCAAATCCACTTTACAGCAAGAGGGGAGTTAACAGGAAGGGGTTTGCTTGAGATGCTCCTGGAACTGACGTGCCCTTGGTGCTATTTTATTCCCACCTTTGTTCATACTGATGCAGGGAGAACTGGAAAGGGCTGCAGAGGGAAGGGGCACCCCTGGTTTGGGTGGTGAGTGATGCTCAGGGTGTCCAGACACCCCCGTTTCACCAGTCCACTCAGCAGAGCAGCCAGGTCTGGAGCTCTGACGGGGCTGACAGCTGAGATCCCTTTTCCCAGGACGGCATCCCTCTTACGCCCAAAGCAGCCGTTGGAATAAGTCAGTCTGAATCACACATCCAGGCTCATTTTCCAGCAGCAGTCCCAGAGAGATTGCGCAAGGCAGGAACTGCCCACACATAAGTCACCGCTGAAATGTTCCCGGTCCTGGGGCACGTGCAGCCAGAGCGTGTCACAGCAAAGCACCGATACCGGGATGTGCGGTGACTCAGCCGAGGCCGGGAGCCTTGCAGAATCCTCGGAGGAGCGATCTCAGCATCACCCCATTTCCCACGGGACTCGGCTGCGGGGTGCCCAGGCTTCTCCCCGCACGGGGAGCGTGAGCAGGGCGGGGGCGGCTGCGGGAGGACGTTCGCTCCTCCTCACGTAGGCATGAGCCTAAATACTGCAGAGCAGTCGGCCGCTTGTGATGGTCAAGTTTAGAGGGGCTGCTGGAGAGAAGGGGTGCTGGGACAGCTGGCAATGCTGCAGCCGAGGGACGGTGGGCAGAGCAGAAGGACACGGCCAGCAGCGCTCAGCACGGCACATCCCCACTCAACTACACGGTCGATATTTGGCTGGTCCAACCAGTCGATATTTTCTGGCTGCACGACGCCAGACAAATATTTCTTTCTCATTTTCAGCACTTCAGCCAGATCCATCTCTCCCCAAGCACAGCTTTTTGGACAAGAACAAACTCATTTTCATTTCCACCAAAAAAAAAAAAAAAAAAAAAAATGTTGACCTAGAAATCACAGGCTATTTCCTGAGCAGCTCCACTCACCAAGGTGTGGGGAAATGTCTGAGACATGACGGAGCCCTCCCAGCGGCTCTCAGCTCGGTTTAGGACACGAACCTGAGTTACGGCTTGGGTCAGAGCAGCATCCACGAGTCCCTGGCCTGACTCAAGACCTCGCTGGGCTGTGCAAACACAGACCGAAGATCAACCCTGCCTCTGAAAGGGCCCGCTTGAAGGACAGATTAACTTGCAACAAAAGAGCTATTGAGTCTGAGCTCCCCAAATGTTTAGTTATGTGCTCCTGGCCCCCAAAACCACATATAACCCCGGGTGCAAGCTGTCTGTGAGATAATCAGGCAAAATCTCCCACCTCTGTCCTGCCCAGCCGAGGGTAAGCCAAGTTATTACACGGTGGAGGTGTTACGGCTCAGACAGGTCCATCAGGGTGATGCTCCGATTCCTCTGGTCCGAGGCGTGCGCCAAGGACAGACCATGCCAGAAGCCAGCGAAGCTGCCCGGCCACAATAAGCCCAGCTATTCCTTCGAGCAAGAATAACTTAGCACTCGTGTTAAACAAGACGAGACCATGGCAAATCCTCCTGCTCTCAGGGTCACCCGACGGCTGGTTTGCAGCAGAAGCTGCTCTTCTTCACCGGCCTTGCAAAATTAAGGAATTTAACCCTTAATCCTGAGGGGAGTCATCTGCTTCTGAAACATCAGACACAGCCTGATGGCAGCATCACAAGTGATGAAACTCCCTTTTTGCAAATAGATTACCGCTCACGTTTTGTGCAAGAAGATGGCAATGAAGGCGCCTAGTCACATGCAGGATCCTGGTCAATCGGGAGCCAAAACCCGATGCTCACAAGCCACACTCCTTGTTGCAGCATCTGCCTTAAAGCCAGAGCTATTCTTTATCATCTCTCCAAGCCTGTCTCCTCTCCTAACAACCGCAGAGTCGCAAGGACAAACCACCTGAGTTCACGTTACATTTTCCATTGCATCTGACTGGCTCCTCCGCTCACGTCCAGCATCCGCAGGGGGACTGTGGATATTAGAAAAATATTTCTCTTCGTCCTCTCGCAGCGTGGGAGGATGGAGGAGCCAGAGGAAGGGGGGCTTACATGACGAAAGGACAGCAAGATGCACCAGGAAGCAACTGGTGGACAAGGCTAAAGACCAGGGGAAGCCTCAACCCATCAAAGAGATGGATAAACCACCCTCATCACCAGCTGAAACCCCCAGAGCTCGTGGAAGCCCTCCAGCACAAAAACATCCCTCACCCTTTCCCCTGTGAAGCTCTGGGGGATCCAACCTCACCAGGAACCAGCTGCCCCCATGCAGCCGAGCTCCCGGTTTACGGCAGCGCCCTCAGCCCCGTCTGCCTTCAACCCATCGTTGGCCCCTTCCCATCGGACGCGTGGGCTGGTTTAGCCCCTCTGCCAAAGCAAGGCTCCATTACTCACTGCCAGATACGCAGCCCAGGGCAATTCCTGCCCCAACAAGGAGGATCCAGGTCTTCATCATCCCGTAGACGGGAAGCTGGGTGTTTCGGAGCGTCCCGGAGAGCGGGTTGGGAATGACGGTGCTCCTGGGCACTCCCTGCTATATGTGGGTCCCCTGGGAGCGCGGAGGGGAGGGAGGAGCGTGATGCCACTGAGGACTTCACGGGCAGGCTGCACCCAAACTTTGCCAAAACTCATTATGTGCACGGCTTAATTATAGGCTACCCAGAGTGGGAGGAGGGCTGGTAAATCCAGTATCCCAGTATTGCTCCACTCTTTGCGTGCATGACCCCCGGGGGTGATTGAGGAGCACAGGGGAAACTTCTCAGTGGGGTCTTTGCCCACCCAGAGCCCAGCAGGTCCATGAGACAGCTTGGTCCCTCAGCGTGCCACATGCTCCCATACAACCGGTGCAAACTTTCTGTTCCCCGGTTAATTAGGGGTAATGATCTGTCCTTCCTCAGCTCCTGTCTCCGGAGGCTGTGCTCCCCTTACGGCACAGACCAGCTGCAGTTGAAGCCTCCAGGTCCTCCAGCAGCACAAGAAAACCCTGAGACATAACCACAAGCCAGGCTCTAGCATCAAGGCTGCTCAGGGAGTAGGCTTTGTGGGCTATCCCAGTGTGGTCTCCTGGGGCAAGCCCAGAGCTGGTCCATCCCCACCCTGCGTGGGGCTGTCCTCCTCCAGGGAGCCTCCACGGCGCCGAGTAACGCCGAGGCTGGTGTGGTCACCATCCTCTTCCCTGCCCACAGCAGGGCCAGCCCCAGCTCAATTCAGTGCATCCCACTGGAAGATGTTCCCAGATGGTGGGTGTTTTGGTGTACCTGGCAGGAGAGACAGCTTTCCGTGCTACCGCAGCCTGGGGGGAACCCAGCACCCACTGCTTCCCGGTCCTGGAGTGTGTCGTACGTGCTGACCAGTACACCCAAAGGTATGGGAGTGACCAGACTGGAATAGGTCAGCACCAATCCTGCCTCCAAGGGCATCTTCACGCTGCCTCTGAACCGTGGCACAGCCTCCCTGTTTTCAAAGGGGCATCGCAGTCGTCCCTGAGCCGATCTCTGTCCACATCCCTCCGCTGCCCAGCTCAGCCGCTCACAGGGCTGCGCTCGGAACCGCACCAGGAAAATCACCCAGACCTAACTCATCATCCTTCTGGAGGCTGGTTTAAAACCTGCTATTTTCCCATTCTGGTTTGGAGGGCAGCCCACCGAGGCAAGCAGGAAGGAATCTCCTCAACCCATTTTGCTGCTGGAGGATGTTGGGGAAGTCCAGCTCTTCCACACACCTCCCTGTCACCTCCCAGCCACGGTACCTCAAGGGCTAGCAACTCACCCATGGCTGTATTGTCCTCAAGCATCGCCCTCGCCTTTCCAGGAAAAGAATGAAGAGACCACCAGCGCGCGTTGGTGCTGCACCCGAGGGCCCAGCACAGGCACCGGCTGGTTTCTGGCTTCTCCTCACGTGGTGACGTGGTTTCTCAGGAAGCCTCATCCCAAGCCATGCCCAAAACCCAAATGATTTACACCAGCCACTTCTCCGCCTCCTCACCAGTTTGCAGTGACAGACTCAGGGATGGCCCAATACCGGCTGGTCCCTTGTGGTCCACATCCCTCTGGTTTGGCCAGGCATTTGCCTGATGCGATGCTGGGAACACTCCCCAGCTGGAGGCTCCTGGAGCTTCTGTAAACAGCCCCAGGCTCTCCTGGGCTACCTGCCACGGTGGCTGCCAGACAGCAACGCTCCCAATGCTTCCATCACCAGAAGCAGCAGGTCCAGGACAGGGTCTCCCCACCAAGGAGGGACTCACTCCTGTGCATCTTCACCTTGGTGGGTGATGACTGACCTCCAAACACCACCTGAGCCAGGGGAGGCAATTTCTAACCTCCATCAGGTGAGCAGGCAGCAGCTGCCTGCAATTCATCCTGCCTACACAGCAGCGTTGCAACAGCCCTAATTCCCTGGGGTGCATTAGCTGGCACAGGAGAGTGGCGTTTGGTGTAATAAGGACCAGGTTTGGCTTCTTTCTCATCTCTCAGTCATCTCCTACCCTTTGCCCTGGGCTGGTGACCCTGCTGACCTGTCCTTCCCGAGACCAGCCTTGTTTTTTCTGACATCTTTGTGTCACCCTGTGCTGAGGTTGCTCTTCGAGTCCATCAACTGGCTCATGCGCAAGCCCAACCTTTCCCCAGCTCCAGGCTGTGCCTCGAGCCCTGCTGGGGATGAGGAGCTCACATCAGTGGGGTCGGATGGATGGCTGCAGCCATCGTGCATCCATCTTCCTCCTCCAAGGTGCCCAGGAAAAGCAGGAGCCGCAGCGCCTGGAGATGGAGCGAGTCCTGCAGTGCTCGGTGAAGAAGCTGGATACCCACCATGGAGGAGGATGGAGGTGGAGCCCATCTCTTCTTGCAGAAAGTTGCTTTCCCAGCCTCACTGTGGAGGATGATGCCTTTTGCCTTGGGCTTAACTGGGAGAGTCAGCTTCATCAGCAAAGACGTGGGAACGGCATGTTTGTCCCTGTATCTCAGCCGCACCTTCTAGAAACTGGTGGCCAGGTGTGAGTGCTCCCCACCTGCCGTCCTTGCACACCCCCATGGTCCAGCACATCTCGTTCCCACCTTCCAGCAGTGCTGGACCTGCAGGCACCAAAGCCCTCCAAGCTCCTGGGGACAACCTTGTCTTGTGGTTTGCAGGTCCAGGGACAAGAGCAGGTCGGCGTGTGCCAGGTCATGGTCCAGAGTCAGCCACCGGTGACAGAAGGACAGCGTCACTGGCTGTCACTGAACACCGTGACCCCGTTCAGGGCGCTCGCCCACGAGGGGTGTTGCAGGAGGGTGGTGAGTCAAGCGCCCCGGGGCTGGCTCCATGTTGCTCTTGCATTAGAGCCGAGGAGAGGAGACGGGAATCGCCCACGCGCGCAGCCGGAGGCAGCCAGCCGCGGCATCGGGGATGCCGGAGAAGGCAGGAGTCTGGGCAGCCACACTTGCTCCTGTCCCCAAGAACATCGTTAGCTCTCGCTCCTTGCGTTAGACCCTCATCCAGACCCCAGCTTTACCCGTGATCTTACTCGAGGAGGCACACATCCAGCCTCTTATTTTTGCACCATCCAGGGTTTTCTACAAGCAGGGCTGCCCGACACCAAGCTTCCTCCCCATCCACCATCCTCCTCTCCACATCCCCCTGGACTCATTGCCCTTTTCCCTCACCCTCGGGACACCATGGGGCTTCTGCAGCTCCATGGGAATTGCTGGTGGGGCTGGACCTTCACGCTCGTGCTGCCAGGGAAAACACAGCTTGTGGAGGACACAGGCTTGCGGAGGTGCACGGACCGTGATGAGCTCGCCAACGGGATGCTCTTCACAGCCTGTACCAGGAAAACCAGACAAGGGTCAACTTTTCCACTTGAGCAGAGATTTCTCCAGCCAAGCCAGCCGACTGGGCCAGCATCCCGCCTGCAGCCAAGGGAAAGCCCAGGGACTCATCCACGGATCCAGCCAGCCAACCTGCAGCCCGAAGGTGATCTGCAGGCCTAGAAACATCTGGAAAATGTACAACTCTGATTTAACCCTTCCTTCCCCACACATGAACTCTTTCACTTCAAGGTTCCTTTGGTCCTTGAGGGCAAACATCCTGAGAAAGGTGACTGCGGGAGGTCCGGGCTGCCTGATTTGGGTCCAGATGCCAAGGAATCACCATCGCCTCTTCGCTTTGCCCTGGCTTGCATGGACACCAACGCTGCTGGGACCATGCGTGGAGATGGAGATGGAACCCTGGGATATTGCCAGGTCTCAAAACCTGGTCCCCATTGAGCATGGCCACCCATGCCTTGCAGAGAACCGCAAAGCCAAGCTTTGCACTGGGGGGGGACCCAGGGGTCCTGGGATGGATGTGGTGCTGGGAGCTGCAAGGAACCTGCATCCCCTCTCGTAGCTGGCTGCATCACTTGAAACATTATTTAGGTGTGATGGGGACTTTTATTTTAAGCAACCCATTCGTTTGCATCATGAGAATGAAAAGAGCAATTATTGCAGCAGCGCTCTGGTCCCTTGTACCCCAGCCATGCTTCGGGCAGGGCTGGGGGGTCTTTGGCTTGTGGCTCCATGCTGTAGCTCCATGGTGTCCCAGAGGCTGGGGCACAGGCTTGCCAGGGGCTGCGAGCCTTCCCCGCAGTGGTACCCTGCAAACATGGGAGCTTCGAGGGGCTACGATCTCCCCTGAACCCCGAGGCTCCATCCAGGTCTCCTCAGTGTTGGGAAGGTCATTGGTAAAACCGCTCTGTGCGCATACAGAGATGCTCTGGTCCCCGCCCCTGGTGTCCTTCAGCTCTGCTGCCTTTGAAGACATCTCCCCAAACCCCTGCTCGTGGCCCAGCAGCAACTGGTCATGGGCTGGGAACGGCCAGAGTAGATCACCGTCTCCATCACGAGGCCACCACAGCTTCATTCCACAATGGATGCTGTCCTGCCTCCGCGCCACAGCTGTACATGGCTATTCCTACTCCCACCCATGTGGGGAAACTGAGGCACGGAGAAGGCTGTGATTAGCCCAAGATTCGGCAGCACGGGCTGGTTTAAGCCCTGATGGTCCTTGGAGGGGATCAAGATACTTTGCCCATGGCTGCTGGGGTCATGCAGCTCCCAGAGACTGGGACAGGGGATGCAACCAGCACCTCCCATGGGACACACAGGACAGAGGGAAGGGTAGGTCCCCTCTGGGGCTGCCCCAGGATCTGTAGGGCAGCGCCGCAGCACGAGCCAGACCCTGAGCTCAGCGTGGGTGTCTGCACCCTGACGGAGACAGAGGTGGGGTTCTCTGCTCACGGGGATGCTCTGGCTTGAGTCCTTCCAGGAGCAAGGGGCATCTTCCAGCCCAGCACCTCCAGGGCCGGCAGCATCGGGGGGCAGCCAGGGCTCCTTCCTCCCCCCTGGTCGGCGCAGGGAGCAAATCCAGGCTGCTGCATGGAGAAGAAAGGGGAGCGCAGCCTTGCATACAAAAATACCTCTATTGCTCACTCCGCTGTCC